AGCCTCTGCCCTTGCTGCGTCCATCGGGAACCGAAACGACCAGGCACAACCCTCTGCTGCTTTGCTTCAAACAGTCTTTCATGATGCTGTTTGCTTAAAAGATGCTGACGCCGCTTCGAACGCCAGCATGGAGAGGTCCGGGGGAGGCGTGTAGTAGCTCTTGGTGCCGCACAGGAGCCGAGCTGGGCAGGGGGACTGCGCATGAATATTGCATGGCGATGTGATGGGGCCCCGTGTGTGCTGCGGCAGAGGATCGCTGGGATTTAAGGAAAGCAGGCTGCACCCCTTGGAGCCAAGCCCCACGGCCAGAGGAGCGTGGCCTGATGTGGCGCAGGAAAGGGTAGCTGCTGAGCAATGCCTCTTTGCCGAGTTGCCGGCACTGCTGGCTCCTTCCTGGGGTGCTGTGAGGAACTGGCAGGGGGGAGATGAATTTTAGCTCCCTTGGTGCAGCATCCCTCCTGGTCCCCAGCAGCATGTTGTCCCCCTGAGCTTTCTGCTGCCTGTGGCAAAGGTGAGGTGTCCAGTAGATTTACATCAGAAATGCACCGTTGGCCCAAACTACAAAGACATGGGGAGGCTATGAAGGCTATGAAGGAGTGAGGCTTTTCAGCCCTTTTGTGTGGGTAGAAGATAAAAAATAATAATAATAAGGGGGGGATTGGGGACTAAAGAGCCCTTTTTATTAAGATAAGGTATGAGGCATGTAGTTCAGGCTCTGCTTATGTCCCGCTGGCAGAGCAGATTCAGAACAAGTGTGTTTGCCTGCTATCGTGGCAGTGAAACAGGACTTTGGTGTCTCTGCAGTGCCTTGGCTAATTTTGTTCTTGTTTGACTTTTTGCAGTAGGAATGATGGTGCAAATGTGAGCAAACACCAGTTTGCCAAAAAAGACCTGTCGGCATTCTCCTATTAGGCCAGTCCTGACTGCACGCTACCGAGAGTGACCAGAGTCCTAGAAAGCTGAAATTGCAGAGGGTTTCTCTGCTTTCCAGCCTGTTCTGCTCTTTGATTTCAATAGCGCTTTTTTTTAAATGATTTCTTTCAGTTCCTGTCCCAATGATGTTGTGTTTTTCGGTGCAAAACAATCGCAACCACCTTTCTGTGCTGCTGTGGCTTTTGCTCATGAAGACCCTGTCCTTGCCGTGCATTGGAGCTGTGTCTCACGAGGGCCCAGGACACGCAGGATTTGAGTAACAGAAGCAGTCCTTCCCACCACCATGAGAAAAGGTCCCTATTTTCTTCACCTTTGCAGAGCTTACCCCTGTATTTGTGGCTGTCTGGTTTCCCTGGGACTGGCAGGTGGTTTGGTTTGGCAGCACATCAGTGGGGAAATCTTTATCCACTGAGATCTTGCTCGGCTCCAACAACCCAAGGTGAAAGCCCACGTAGCTGCGTGGCGAGCTCCCAGCAAATCGAGCCTGACTCTGGCAGGAGCTGGAGGATTTGGGCATTTGTGCTCCATCAGGAGGTTTCTGCCCACGAGAGCATGCCCAGGGGATCATGGCTGAGCCGTCCAGCCTTGAGGAAGGCAGGCAG